CGGGTGCTTAACAAACCGTTACAACTTGAGAGTTCGAGTCACACGAACCTCAACGAATCCTTCAAAGGAAACAGACCTTCCTTTGAATCAACCGAGAGTGATACTATCTCTCAACGTGTCTAAGAACACAAGTACACTCAAGAACGAGACTCTCTTATAGAGTAGATTATGAGTAAACTAAGTACGCTCAAGAACAACTCAACCTTCACACAAGTGGCTCTAGAAAGCTATGGAAAATTATGATATTTGAATGCAATGAAAGTATAGATGTTGTGAAGTGAATTGGTGAGAAAAGCAGACCCAAACACCCCTTTTTATAGTGCCAAAATAGGCTCCAACGGACCAATGCATTAAAGGGGTGATTGGCTTGATTTATGGGATTGAAAAGATTTGGGATCTGCAGAATATTGGCTTCCCATCGATGTTTAGGACTTACCCATCGCTGGTAAGCCAATTTTCCTTCAGTTTTGAAGCCAACGGTCACCTACCCATCGATGGGTAAATGCTTCCCATCGCTGGGTGGGAGGTTGACTTTCAAACAAGGAAAGAATCAGCCTTAAAAGACTCCCAACGGTCATGCCTTCCCATCGATGGTTAAGCCTTCCCATCGCTGGGTTCCCATCGATGGGTAAAGCTTCCCATCGCTGGGTAAGAGCATTCTGCCTTGTGGTAATGTTGCACCAAGGCTTGAGCAGCGATGGGTAGATCTTCCCATCGCTGTTTGGCATGGTTCTGGAAGTTGGTTTGGCTGAGGGGCCGCTTACCCATCGATGGGAAGATCTTCCCATCGCTGGGTGAGTGGTTAGTCAAGAACCCATGGTTTTTGCCTTAACCACGGCCTAGCCAACCGATGCGAAACCCGACCGAAAAATTCAAAGTTCTCCAAAATAAAATCCAAGTGTTTAAAACACTTATTTGATGTATTTGGCTAATAAATCGAATAAGACACTTTAAAAACCACGTCATTTAAGTGAAAACCACGGCTAGCCAAGTTTTATGCCGTTTTGAATGATTTTTGTCAAACGATCAAAAGCGAGAGATGGTTTTCAAGGTGTTTTTGTTGGAGAACCGTTTAAACATGCCAAAGAGTAAAAACCAATCATAAAAAGTTGAAAACCACTTGGTTGGTTCGGACGCCAAAAACCATAGCCGATGACCGAGAGCCGAACGCCAGTTTCTGAAACCCGAACGCGGGATGGCTTGGTTTTTGGTTTGGACGAACACCAAGTGTTTTTAATGACTTAAACATGTTTGAAAAACATTTTTATGATTTAAGAAGTGCAATGAAGGTCTTTAGCCTAAAGAGCCAAGGTGTAAAGATTGGGTCGGTCTTGACACAATGAAGACCGACTCAACTAAGACTAAGGTCTTCGTTCTTGGTCTTCTTTTAGCTCTTGTTCTTGTCTTCCTTCTTCGCCTTGTATATTCAAAGTTTGACTTGATCACGGCGGTTTGGCATTATCAAAACCTGTCATAAAAACAAACACGGCTTTAGTACGAAAACGTGACATGCCCGTGTTTCAACACATGGCGGTCGGCGGAGATCTAGTCGTAGAGTTCAGATCTAGAGAGAGAAGTATATATATATATATATAAAGATGACTTCTCTCTCTAGATCTGAACTCTACGACTAGATCTCCGCCGACCGCCATGGCGGTCCGGCGACCATCATCCAACCATGTCTAGCTCCCATCCTCAACGCACCTTCAGCGAAATTGCAGATGCAGAAGACTACAAACCAGCGCAAAAATTTAAAGGCCAGCCAGCCATCTCAACCATCTCCTTCACAGACGAGGATGTGAGTGCGCTCTCATCTAGATTCTCTCGAACAATTGTTGGGCGCTTCATCAAAGGGAGACCAAGCCTTATCTCAACCAGAAAGGCCTTTGAACAAATTGGCTTTGAAAACGATTTCTCTGTAAGTCTCCTAGATGAACGCCATATTTTGATCAATTTCGTATCTGAAAAAGACTTTCTGAGATGTTTGTTGCGGAAATATTGGAAGATAAATGGATTCACCTTGAAAGTTTTCCGATGGACTCCTTATTTCGACCCTAATGCTGATTCCCCATTAATCCCAGTTTGGATAGGCCTTGAAGGCCTGCTTATACATCTATTTGATTCTCTTGCTTTATATTCTATTGGAAATTTGCTTGGTAAACCTTTAAAGACTGATTCAGCAACTCTTTCGAGACCCTCTGTTGCCCGAATTTGTGTTGAGATAGATACCAGTAAAGAACTTCCCCGTTGTGTTTAAATTCACCTGGGAGAACTGACTTTCCTACAGCCAATCACCTATGAAGATCTCCCAGACTATTGCCCCTCATGCAAATCTTTTGGTCACAAAAATTGTAAAAGAAAGAATGAGACCTCTAGATGGGTTAAAGGGAGTACTGAAACTAGGAATACAACAATTGTTGTTGCTGTCTCTAAACCTGGAGTGACCCAAACAACACAAGAGGTTGCTTTGCAAACAAACCTGGGTGGTTCAAGTGTTGAGAATGAGGCAACTGGGTCTGTGTCTCCTGTCAAAGAAACAGACTCAAATACAGCTGGGGCTGCTACCCCAAGAGTTCCAGTTGATGTCATGGCAACCAAAGTACTTGCTGCTATAACTCCCCCTGACAACTTCCTAGCAACTAGCGTAAGTGTTGACTCAGTCCCTAATGTTCGTGATGACACAGATAATGTTGAGAAAGTTTCTCATGCAATTCTTCCCAAGAGTTGTACAGAAGCTTATCCTGATGTTAAGAAAATTTCTGATGGTTGTGAAGTTACTCCTACTGACAATTGCCCAGCAGCATGTGGTAACAGTGAGGTAGTATTGGCAACTCCTACCAACATCCAAGATGATACCCCTGCTATGGAACCCAACTCTCCTCTACCTTATAACAATTAACACTGCCACAGCGCACATAATCTGTCTTCCGAAGCAGAATTAGAAGACACACACACTGTTGACACTTATAATAATGAAGAGTTCAATTCTGATCCTTCTCCAATCAACCTAAAGGAATTTCCAGTTCTCACAAAAGAACTGTTGGAAGCAACTAGTGGTGAACACACCTTTTGTCTTGAGAAAAAGATGGAAAGAACACTAAGTTCCTCATGTGCATGAAATGAAGAGACTCCTTTTGATCCTATGGAAAACAATAACTCTCCTCCACTGTTGACTAACGATGCAGTTATCAACCCATCAACAATAGGACCGGTCCTTCAATCCTTTGAGATCGACGAACAACACTACGAAATTAGATCCTACATTGAAGAAGGGGAGACATCACATCAAAGGGAGGAAACCAATGACTTTCAAGATGTCCAAAAAAGACGTACCAAAAAAACATCAAAGAGGCCAAATGCACCAAGAACAATCAAAACTAGAAGCTACGACCCCAACCTCGAAGTCGGGACGGTTAGTGAGATCACGAGATACTGGCCGAGCCAAAAATCAACAACTTTGGAAAAAATCATCACTACCGAAAGTTACTCTGGGCCCTTTTGGTATGTCGGTCCTATCGGTCCTAGTGGAATCGATGGAAAGAGACCAAAGAAAGTAATGCCTAGAAACTTTTCCCTTGATCAGCACCCCGGTTTTATAATCTGGGAGTGATCACTTTCTCACTCATATTCCTTTCCCTTTCAGTTTTTTCTCTCTATTCCATGCAGTTTAAGAGGGGCTTTGGTCTAGTCCTCCCCTCCATGTACTTTTTCCTTTTCTTTTCCTTTCTTTTTAATAAAAATTATCCTTTCCAATATATATATATATACATAGGGTGTGGTTCAAGTAAGAATGACTCACTGTGAAAGAAATAAGAATAAATAATAGGGGCAATGCTAGGGGTACACCAACATGGGGTACCCCTAGCTTAATTCTAAATAATAGTCATTGATCTATGAAATCTAACCGCTCACATTGATCAAAAATAAAGTAATTGAGATTGAACTCATTTATTGTGGGTTTCCAATTTATGCGTACAATCCATAGAAAAGGGTAAATTAGGGAGAGAAAAATTTGCCACTACGATTCTTTAGCCATTTTTTTTTTCGGCAATTCCCGATTCAGCCGTTTTTTTCAGTAAATCTTGCTCTTACCATTTTTCTTCCACTACTTTTTTCAATTCCCATTCATCCAAAAAAGTATTATGTCTCTTATCAATCTCTAAATTCATGGGGGTAGAGAGAGAGAGTTCGAACGATCGAGGGTGATTGATGACAGCGATACCATTCGGGTGGATGTTTTGTACGATGAATTCATTGGAGCTAATGGAATTTATGACCGCAATAGTCTGGATAGGTGTAAATGAGGATATATTAGGGAGTACGATTCTCACAAAGGCACAGAGTGGCGGTTTTGCTACATCCTTTTGCATATAAGGTTGCATCCTCTTCCATAGAATGATGCATCCTTCGCTGAGATGAAGAACAAAGGTAAAACACCTCAGTGCATAATCCAATAGCAACACCGGAGATGACTACAAATATAGGTGCTTTTTTTTAGTTTAGGTGTCATTTTTTTCCTTTGGGTGGGATATTCAGATAATTTCTTATATAATGTTCATTAAGAATTTGATTCAGGGTTCTATTTAAATATGAAGTTTCAACCATTTTTCATGTTCAAGCGTGTAATTAGTTAATGTTCCTAATTAATTGTTTGTTGTCTCATGAATTGCATTTAGGGTTTCAAATAATGCATCATAGAAGCAAATCTTTCATAAGACATTATTTGTGTTGTTGGAGGATATGAAGTTTTTTTAGAAGTACATTTGGATTGTTTCTTTTGATATTCTCTATGAATATTAGTAAGTAAATTTTTTACATGATATACTTGAAAAGTGCAATATTATACTCGAGCAAGTGGTTAGATAAAACAAAAAAAAAAGAGTTATTAGATCACACTTGAGTGAGTGGATGATAAAAATGCATAATTGTAGTTTTTTTGACTTGAAACAGGTGAGAGTGGTGTTTTGGTTCAAGAGAGGAAGGTTGTGAGATTTGGAAGATCAAAAAATAGTTTTGCGGGAAAGTTGGGTAGTAGATGTAGCTAAAGAAGAAACTGAACAAGACACAAATGTACTTGAGAAAAGAGAAAGCATATGTATGAGACCACAAAGAATAGATAATGCATATGTACTAGACCACAATGCACACAAATAAGAAGAGTGATGTATAGTGATGTGAGTAACACTAGAAATTGTATGGAGATCATTGTACTGGGCGAGAATATTATTGGAGATGGATTTTTAATGTCTTATAACTTAATTTCTTTATTTTTAGGAAAATTCGTATGATCTTTAGGCATGCTCATTTTATCATGGAAGCACAACTCATTTTTTAAGGGCTATAATTTTAGGTTTTCAATTATGATGTGTGAATGCAACATAGTGTTTGAATAATTGTATTGAAAAATGTAGAATAACAAGAGAGGAAGAGTATAAAAGAAACAACAAAGTGCATGTTTCGTACCATAATATGTGTTTCCCTATGCTATAAAATGCATAGAATATGCTATAAAATTTTCACAAGACTATTTATGAAAATTATAAATATGCAATTTTTTAAATAAAAATCCTATTCTCAAATAAATATTTTGAAAAACAACTTCAATCAAACATTGTAAACTGAAACAAAAAATTTAAATTAAGGCGGAAGGAGTAGATTTCAGAAGAAAATATTATAAAGTGCATAACGTAATTGCTTTTAGATGCGAATCACAACCAGGAATCAAAAGAGTATAACATAGACTACAATGTGCATCATTGTTACTATATTATGTGTTATCCTAGAAAAATAAGTGTGAAGAAAAATGCACAAAAGTGCATAGGAGTATATACATATTTCATGGAAGTGGGGTACAATGTAATATAACACATGGAAGTGGGACAGAATAAAGACAATTTTTTTCTTTGGTCCACAAGGCTTTATTGCTCTTCAAACAATCAGCAATCAACTAAATTTACTCTTTGAGTTCATGCATTTTATCTCCTCCCATTGCTCATGCTTACTTTGATCCAAGTTGTTCCGAGCCATTACTCTAGATACTACACAAATCATATTATACCTATGAGGTTCAAAAAATGCATAAGCAGCCAGTTAGGTAAAAGGGTGAGGGAAAAATTTCATTTGCATAAATTTAACAAAAGAGCCATTTAAAGCATCGAGCATTGCACAAATAAGTCTAAAACTCTAATTTTGTTAGATTTTGAAAAATTAAACTTTTAAGTTATTAATCACTTAAATCAACATCATTTGTTCTTAGCAGCCTCACAATCATGTGTTGGTAATCCATCCCCATCCTCACCTAATACACAAGATTATGAACAATATAATAATAGCATGAAAATCTCGTCATCAAAATAAAAGCACATTATAAATTAAAGGAAATGCACCATAAGAAAGAGGGGAGTGTAGTATTTGTGATACAGAATAATATGCCTTAAAGAGAAAAAAATCATGACAACATACCGGCAATATCAACAATAAAAATTAGAAGAAATTTCAACTATATATCTTAGCTTCTCCATAAGTATAATTCATACATAATAAGCATTCCAATTATAGTAAGATTGGAATTTGTCAATATTGTTTACAAAAAACATGACCAAAATAAAAAATCCACTAATTCAAATACATTATTGTAGTGTTTGAAATGCATCCATTTTATAAAATCTGCAAATTAAAAGTGAAAAGAAAAAGACTACGAAGTGAATTATGAAGGGAGTCAACTCATGAACAAAGTAAATGCATGGTTAGTAGTTGGGTGCAGCAAGAACATCCCAAAGTGCATTAGAAGGCTATAAAAATGACATCTCTTGAACAAAATAGCATTTACAAAGAATAATTAAAAAATGTATGTTTAATGTAAAACATCTTTCCCGGATTAGGAATGTGAAGCAACACAATGAAAATAAATGAATTCACATCAATGGAGGGGTCAAAATCCACAAACACCCATTCAAAATTGATGAAAACAGATCAAGACTGAGATATGGTAGGTATTGGCTAGCTTGTCCTGAACTACAACAAATTAACTCATCAACATAACTCGTAAGAAACAAGATCATATTCTAATTGAACGCCATCTTTGCACTTTTGTAAAAAAAATCACACACCATTGATATGATGACATCAAAACATTCTTAAACTTAGAAGAGATGATATAAAATCACCATGTTTCATATGCAAATGCAATATATTGCACAAAATATGCACTGTAGACAGTTAGCAATGTATTACAAATAGAATCAAAACAAATATCAGGTAAAAAAAATAAGTCGAAAACAAAAATATACTCATCACAAAAACAACTACGAACATAAAAGAATAGAAAAAAAACAGTGCGATAAAATTAACATGTAAGAGGCAATCATCATCTCCAAGCCCATAAAAATACAATCAGATGATAAAAAATTGAACCCCCAAAATATATGTAATTCTTGATTCAAAATGTAATAATACCCTATATTAGTTTGAATTTAAATCTATAATTCAAAATTGAAATGCATACTTGTACTACGTATGATTCAACACGAAATACGTAATAACTCATTATCTAAAGCTGAAAAAAATCCAAGAATAGAATCTGAAAATCAAATTCACTCACCGAACAAAAACACAAAAAAATGGTGACAGATTCAAGATCTTACCTGATTTCAGGGAATTACCCATAGTGATGGTATCAATTGCAAAATTTTTAATTAATGGAGACAGATGCCTCTATCGGTCTAATACCAAAACCTAGGTTGAAAAAATTGAAGAGCAAGATTGAAATCTCCATGGGTGCAGATGAAGAAAAGAAAACTATAATGAGTGGATACGAAGCAAATTTCACGGAAAAGAGTTAATGAAGAGAGAGAGGCCGTATATAAATTAAATGAAAACCCCAAAATGCCCATGATTTAAGGAGATGCTGACTCTAGGACCGATCAGATCTAACGGTGATTAGAGATTCTTATTTCTTTCATTAGATTATATTCTTATTTGAACCAAAATATATATATATATATGGATTGACTCCAGTCAGATGACACTTTACGGGAGATGACATGCTACGGTCAGATGACGCAAAACTCACCACTGGCCAATGCAAAGCTCACCAAAAACAACTACAAAGCTCACTAAACTGTAATGCAAAGCTCACCATATTTTTTCAACACTTTAAATTTTTTTTGAAAAAAAATCAAAGGAATTGGTGCTGACTAGACTTTGACCATTGACCATCACTGCCGCCGACCTCCGCCGCCGCCTCTGCCGGTCCCCAGCCGCCAGCGACCACCTCCGCCGCCGCCAGTCTCCGCCGCGCCGCCGCAGCCGGCGACCACCTCTGCCGCGCCGCCACCACTCACCGGTGGTTGACCGGTGTTGCTATTTTATTTTTTATTGATTTTTTAATTTTCAAAATAAAAAAAAAGTGAGTTTTGGTGTTCAAAGTATGAGCTTTCCCTTATTTCCAGGTGAGCTTTACATTGGCCATTGGTGAGCTTTGCAGTGTAATGTAGTGAGCTTTGCGTCATCTCACCGAAGCATGTCATCTCACCATAAAGTGTCATCTCACTTGAGTCAATCCCATATATATATATATATCTGTGTGTGTGTGTGTATATATATATATATATGTATATATATATGTATGTATGTATGTGTATATATATATATATATATATATATATATATATATATATATATTTCAAGGCAACTAAAGTTTAAGTTAACTCAATTTGAAAATCATGCATATATAAAAACTGAGCCATCATCAAATTATAATTCCATAGCCAGTCTCAAAAATCTAGTGTCAAACCAAATAGTGAGTTCCAACATCAATTGATCCTCTAATAATGAGCTCAAAACAAATTAAAAAGGAATGCAATAGAGTCATTATATTGTTTCATGCTATGTTCTCCAACAATAGTGTCTTCATCAAATTCCCACAAGCCCCGCCAAGTAACTCATGCCATGCCAAATCAATTTAGCTTCGCTCTGCTATCTTATACATAGACCTGACTTCAATTTACAAGAAAGATTTACCATTTTTTCTTGTATTATTATCTTTGTTTGCATCTGCAAAGTCCAAACAACATATTTGAATTAAATCTCTATCATATAAAAATTATGCAAAAAATTGATACCCAAGTATCATAAAGAGCTTTTGGGTATCGTATGGGTGTAAAAACCAGCATTCTAATCAGTTTGGTTCTTAACTACCGCCATTCTTTTAATCTCTTTTCAAATTTGATATCAAATACCCAAGTTTGGTTCAAGTTAAACTCAGAAAACTGAACACAATGACTGTAAAAACCAGCATTTAAAGACCAGAAAACTGAACACGGAACTTAAAAAACTGAACACTTAACCCACAGAATTGAACAATGGCTGTAAACTCAAAAAATTGAACACTAAACACAATGACTGAACGCAATTAATGACTGTAAAAACCAGCATATATATACAATATAATGTACTTACAAGTATAGATTTTTCGTGCTTTTCACGTAGTACTGTGTTTAACAGATTATGTTCTGCCTTATTCTTGCACAAACCAGTAGCCTGCAGATATTAAACACACACACACATAAAATTTTCTAAAAGAATAAAAAGATAAAGAAAACTTTCAAACAGTGGGCTGATGACTTGCTTGTAACCCCTATTGATATAAGTCCGAGTCCAAATATTGTCTCAAAAAGTTGTAGTCTAAGCAAGTTAGCTTTTAGAAGACAATTCAGTAGCCCACATGGAGTGCATTTTCCACCCCCTCACTGCCCAAACAGCCCTAATGGACCAACCTTAGAGCCCTTCTTTCCATCTAATGTTGCAACCTCTCCAGAACCTGTACCCACACCTGCAGATTCAGACTCCACCCTACTAGAAGAGGTTGAAACTATTAGAAGGCAAGTAAAGAAGAGTAAAAGTACAGATGAGGCAAAAAAAATTTAAAACTGCTGAAGTCATATTGAAAATGTGCAATAAAGAGTTGAGAGGGTTATGACATCCCAAAACTAAGTGTACCTCAAATACCAATCTTAGATACCTTTTTTGAAGAGCTTGTGATGCCTACTGTTCGTGTGTTTTAATTTAGGTCTAATAAAAGGAAATCAAACAAAAAAATAGATGTGAAGAACTTGATAATCTGTTTTTTAACATTAACCAGGCCAAAAACTAGAAGCTGCATTTTTCAAAATCCTATCTTAAATCAATTTTTCAAAACACAACTTCAAAGGAAATCAAACCCTAACCGTCCACATTGATCCAAAACTGAACATGAAAGTATGAAATATTTAGTTCTTGGAAAGGAAAACTAGACCAAACTCCAAATAAGAATTGCTATCCAAAATTTAACTGAATTAATCCTCCGTTTACAAGAATAAATTAAAAAGAAGTTTCAGAGCACCGAGTATTAACTGTTTTTATACAATCTAAAGTAAATCCATGGATGCAAACCTACATGCCAATAAGAATTGAATTGAAGTTCTATTCAACGCAATACAAAAGTCCTTACACCAAATAATATACTTTAGAATTGAATAATGGGGAATTGAATACTCGGGAAGCAGATAGCAAAAAATCAACAAACTAGTTCCAGCAAATAAAAAAAGAAACAATTACCTCAAACAATCAAAGCTTCAACGAAGACAATAGGCATAAGAGGAAGATGAACGACGGCGAGCACAGATCGATGATTGAGGAACGAAGAGGTAGATGCGGGAGGTAGATCGAGAACTACCACACATCTCTTTGCCATGGAGAACACCGGAGCAAGTAGCGGGTTCCAGTACAAGAGAAGAAGAATTCTAACCCAAACACAAAGGGAGGAGATGGAGAATGAAAACCAGGTATTTTCAAATAATTCTTACTTAAAATTAACTAATTTTTGTTTTATTTTGAAATATTTGGGATTGGTGTCAGATTTCTGCTGAGGTAACCCCATCTGTGGAGGGTCAATCGTTCCTGGATGCTTCGGAAATTGAGGTGCATTGCATGTACACTAAAATATAACATTTAAAGTATTTTGTTTGTTTTTTGAAACATTCGGAAACAGAACAAGTTATTCGACCATGGAAATAATCAATATAATGTTACAGTAATTGGTTAACAGTCGAATGCAGTCGAATCTATTTTTTGATTAGTTCTTGATTTTAATTCTA